AATTTGTTGTTGCAAGGAACTTGTGCTTGCAGATTATGGCGATATGGTTATAAAACAAAATAATTATTAGTGAGAAACAAAACTAGCATCCCCTGTAGTAACTTTGCATTGAGATCGATCGGAGGGTTATCCGAAGGGCCGATGAGGAATGTCGCATTAGGGAGTTTGCATGGGGTCACCTAAGCCATTTCCGATAAGGCCCCCCGACTCGGACTTTCGGTATTTTGGCTATACGCTTATCTGCCACACTCGCCTGCAGCGTGCGTGAGCTGAATAATGCACTCACTCCCCAAATTGAAATCATTTTTCTATAACTTCACAGTAATGATGGGTATTCTTATACCTTAAATAGAATAGGTTCAATTTTTATCCGTAACTTCTCAAAATTATTAGTAAGTATGTTCCATTTGTTATGTTTTGATATTTATTTTATTTAATAATAATCTAAGTAGTAGGTCATAGGAGAATATAAAACCCCACAGGCTATAATAAATTATATGAAAATGAGACTTCAGCACACAAAAATACAACTATAAAAATATATACGTAGCACGTACCTACATATATGATATAATGATATATCCTAGATATAATATAAAAAATAAGTATCTAATAAAAAACAGCTGAAGCTCAAAGTGTAAAACAACGATTAAGCTCGTTTAGCAAAAAGCTCACGCCACGCAAGATTGAGATCTCGAGCATCAGCGGCCACTCCACGGTCTCGAACGTCTCCACATGATAAATAACAGTTTCCCCACTTTTTACGCCGAGGGTGTCACGCAAAAAAATGAATAAGGAAATTTACCTAATGGCCGCGATTCTTTATTCTCTATCTCCATTGTCAGAGGACAATGCTGTAATGGAGGGATAACGTGAGTGAACTGCGCCGTTTTATTATATTTACTTTTTGTAGGAAATTACAAGACATTTGGAATTTGTAAATTATTTCAGTAATAGTCGATTTTATAACATCCTTACATGTGATACACAACTTCTACAGAGTCTTGAATTCAGAGTAAATTATTGCGTTTAATTTTAAGCTGCGATACTGAATTACTAAAAATTTACTAAAAATTGTTAGGTAACTCTAATACAATATTCTAATCTCATTGGACACAAGTTTTATGGACTACTGAAGATTTATCTTCTATCTACTCGTATACTATCTCTATATCTTTACTATAATAAAACAGTAAATTAGGAAAATCTGTACCTACATGACATATTTTTTAAAAACAATGACTGCAACGTATTATGTACACAATATAGACCCTAACACAATAGTTATTATTTTTTTTGTCTGTCTGTTTGTGTGTGCGCGTTTCACTCAAAAAGTAATGAACCGATTTCAAGAAATTTGGTGAAGTGATAACTTATTAGTCGGATCAACATTTAAGGTCCCTTTTTCTTCAAGAAAATCTTTCTTTCCCACGGGAATACACAATAACTGGTTACATCGACTTCTCCTTAGAAACCTTCCGCTGGCTAAACCTTAAGACATACATCAAAACAACGTACAAAAAAATTGTAGGTCTTGAAAAGGCCTACAGAAAAATCTTCAATAGTATATGCCTATCTCCTAAGGTACATTCGCAATACCTATTCTTATCTATACCTATAATAAAACTAACTTAGTCAAATCCATGTGCGTGTTTTACGAAAAAGTACTGAATCGATTTTAACTAAATTTTGTGTATCGATAACTTATTACAAAGATCAAAATTTAGGATACCTTTTACTACAGGCAATTTTTTCATTCCCACGGGAAAACACGATGACTTGTTCTGTCGAGTCGTCCTTAGAAATTTATATAGCTAACGCGGCTAAACCTTAAAAGATACATCAAAACAATGTACTACGAAATTGTAGGTCTTAAAAAGGTTTACAGAAAAGTCCTCAATAGTATATGTCTGCCTCCTAAAGTACACTCGCTATAACTATTTTTATATCTATACTGATATTATAAAGAGGTAAAGTTTGTGAGGTTGTAGGGGGAAATCTCTGGATCTACTAAACCGATTTAGATAAAAGGTAAGAAGATAGTTTGAGACCCTGGAAAGGACATAGAATAGTTTTTATCCCGAAAATCATTCCTTAAGGGATGAGAATGGGGATGAAAGTTTGCACAGGGAAGCTATATATTTATAACAAAGTCTGGTTTGTCACAAAACTTATAATTCGAGAACCTCTGGACCGATTTTTAGACTTTTGAGACCGTCCGATTTGGCGTGGAATGCGCCATAAATGACTTCATTTTTAAAAGGATTTTGATTGATTTTGCCTTAATTAACTACTGTTTTTAAGTTTTTTAAAGCAATATAACAACTATGCAACTAAATAGATTCTGAACATAAATACATAATTAAATAAAGTTTTCTTTTATTCTCTAGCAAGAATACACATTAACACACAACATTATAATAAAAATGGAAAAATGGTAAAAACTTTTTAACAAAAAATAAAAACCGATTTGCAGGCACTAAAATGTAAAAAATAACTAAACGGAGGTTTTCATTTAGAATAGATATCTAATCAGATATTTTCGAAGTTGGTGCCAGCCGATGCAAAGCAAATCTATCTATATAATATATTTCGATACGTAAAATACATTTTTACCTATTAGATATTCATATCTTAAAATATTGCAGGCCGGCACCGACTTCAAAAATATCTGATTAGGTATCTATTCTAAATGAAAATCTCCGTTTAGTTATGTATTTAGATTTTAGTGCCTGGAAGTCGGTTTTTATTTTTTGTTAATAAGTTTTTATTTTTCCATTTTTAGTGTAGACTTAATCTCTCTCTCTAATTTTCAGTGTAAGCAGGTAATTTGTAAGAAGAAAGTTTTTTAATAACATATTCAATTAAACAATTTATTAAAAAAAATATTTATTTTTTTGATTTTTTAAAAAACTGCTCCACCGATTTTGATAAAATTTATATGGGACCTCCTGGGAAGTATAGGGTATACATTGAAACACAAAAAAATTCCAAATCAGTTCAGGCGTCTTCGAGTAATCGGTGAACATACATAAAAAAACGACGAATTGAGAACCTCCTCTTTTTTGGAATTGGAAATCGGTTAAAAACAAAGCTATTTGTATAAGTACATATTTTGGTAAAGTTTTAATAAATATTATTTTTAAAGTACATTTTAAAAAATATATTAATTATTAAAATTTAATTTAATCTCTATTGAATATTATTACAAAATGTACTTACTTAATAAAATTATTATAATAATATACCTTACCAAAAATAGAAGAAATCCAAACAAGTAGATACATATTACACATCACAAAATTTAAATTTTCTTTTTTTGGTATATACCAATGTACTTTATTAAATTCATTTGTAATTTTCAATTCACTGCATTCACTTAATTCATATTGATATGCAAATGTTTAATACAAGTTCCTATTATCAAGTCCAAAAGGGTACTAAAGCAAGCAGTGACGGAGCACCCACCGAGTTGAGAATTCTTCGGACGAATAATATCTTAAATTTCTTAACCCTTCTCTCTCATTGGTTAAAAAAACCCAAACCCCTATGCGCGTGTGCTAAAAAATGAAAGGGTTGAAAGCTACCCTTTTTATAAATCAACCCTTATTTTTTATCTCTTTCTTTAATATAGGCACCCTCTTATTTTTGATTCATAGTCAATTCTTCAAAAAAAATTAAAAGTAACTAAATAATATGAACCAAATATTGTTTAAGACAATAATTGTGTTTGTTATAATGATAAGTACTAATTTGAGTTTCAATTAAAAATCTTGTAACTTTATCATAGTTCCAAAATATGTATATTATGTACATTTTAATGGAAGTATAATTAATGTGATTAAAAATTACTGTTATTAAAGTGTTACAATTTATGGATGTATCTAATAATATACTTGCACTGGCATTTACTTTGTATATAAATTCAATACTTATTACATAAACAATTTTATTTAAACTTACAAAAATCGCGCTCAAATAGCGCTTGACAGTTTACATTCCATTTTACGCAAAGTGTACTGTGTAGTCTTTTTAATCTGTGCGCAAAGTTACGTTAATATACAATGCATACGAATAAATGTAAACAAGGATAATGAAAAAATATTCCTAATAACTAAGATTCTTTTGTTAAAATAATATTTGCATTTTTTTACTTGAATTTAAAGAAACCTCAAATCATATTTTAAAGTAATTTTTATGATCCTTATTAAAAAAAAATTACGCTCCGATTAACATACATAATATATAGTTTCCAATAAGACCATTGAAATAAAATTTTATTATTATATAATATACATTAATTGTAATTTATGATCGCCTTGTTAAAACATAATATTATAAGTCATTTAAAATTTTAATTAATAATTTTAATTTATAGTGTTGGCTTACAAGTTTAGGTTATGGAGGGTACCCTCCATAGTTTAGTTATATAATTTGTCATCCATGATATAAATTTATAGTGAATAGTACACTAGCATTGCCCGCGGCTCCGCCCGCTTTTAGATTACCAAAAAGTAAATTCTTAGGTGTTACACATTAGTATACTCTTACAATGCAGTTTTTGTATTTTTTCTCAGAAACGAGATATTTTTCCGCGGTAAAAAGTATCCTATATGTTGACCCGGATAACTAACTATCACTATACCAAATTTCATCAAAATCCCTCAGACAGACAGACAAAAAATTTAAAACTAGAGTTTTAGGCCTATGTATCGATAATAATGTCAATTTCAATAAGAATTTCCAAAAAAATATTTAATGTACAGATTCGGTTTAGTTACAATTTTATTATATGTATAGACAAGACGTGATGTTGACGTTATATTTTATCAATGGTTGACAATGACAACTGACAAGATAAGCATTGAGCATTGACAAGTGACATGTCTAATTTTTTATGTCAAACTCGCATCAGAAATCAGACTTGAATGCCCATTTCATTATTATAAAAATAAAGTTGTTTTTATGTAATATTTGCGTGCTTATATAAATATTTTAAAATGACTCTATACCATTTTGGAAATTGCCTTGCTTTAGTATATGCGCCATATTATATGGCATATAAATTTTCGGGAATGTAAGTTTTTTTAATTAATTAGGTTAAGGTTTTTTAATTAAGCTTATTAGTTGGTTGATAACAATATTTTTCTTACAGATCTGAATATGCAACCTTTTCTAAATGTGTTTATGCCGGTGGTCTATATATATTCACACAGCTTTGTAAAATGCTGCTATTAGCAACCTTCTTTCCCGATTCAGATAATATTAATGAAGGTGGAGAATATGATGTGATTTTAGTAAGTAAAAGTTGAATCTAAGATGTAATGTTCATTAAATTGTATACATTAAAACGAATCATTGTCCACCTTATATAAAAATCCATTTTCCACAAATCCAAAAAAATTATAACAGAAATTTAATCAATGCCTTTTGTTTATTTTCAGGAAATTCTCAAAGCTACAGTTGATCTTGCTGATCTTCTTGGTCTATATTTCGCTTTAAATTCGATTCCTGGTAAAGGTCATGCAAAGATTTTAAATGCGGCAATAGGGTGGGCTAGTGCAGAGGTATATACTATTTTAAAAATATTGGGCACTAAATGTGCTTGTGACAAATTCTACATGTTTTGTAAAATCAAAACCAATATTCTTGTTTACTACATATTCGTTTTCAATATATTGTTTAATAATGAATACTAAAAGAATACAAAGACTCTTTGTAGAAGTAGAAATTCACATGGTTAATTATTAGACATATTGTACCACTATATTAATTATATTTTTCTACATGACTTTCTACTTCAATTACAGTTAAATTCTTTTTTTGTTTTTAAGAACTCAACAGTTTAAGTATGCAACATTTACATAAATGCTGTATTACAAGGTATCAGTCTTCACATGTACACCTATTGCAAGTATTACAACACTGTCAGAATAAACAATGATACCTTAATCTACAATAATAATTATAGAAACTATTTTAAATTATATATAATAATCAATTATAACTAATCAGAACTTATTTTTATTCAGGTAGTAGTAACCCGAAGCATTCTTCTCTGGGTGGGAGCGAGAGGGTCTGAATTTGATTGGCGCTATGTCCGATCATGTGCCGAATCAAATGTGGCACTGTTGCAACATGCTTCCACTGCAGCCCTTGTATGGCTTTGGACAAGAAGTGATTTACCAAAGAAACATTTCCCAATTGTTGTAACATTACTAGCCCTGACTCCATATAGAAGTCTAGTTGAAGAAGCAATAGGTAGCATTTTCTCTCTCAGTGCATGGGCGCTATTGGGCCTCAAGACACTACATGCATCAGTTATTGGGCTGAGTGCCCTAGCTTTGTATGCAGTGCTGGCCCAACAAATTGGAATATAAATATTTTTTTAAACAAACTTAATTGTATAACTATTTATAAATGAATAAATATTCTTCTTTAGTTCTAAATGTAATTCTGTAAAATTATAAACATATTTCTACAAAATATAACAAGCCCAATAAACTTCAATATATTTAAGTAACTTTATGTGAATGATAAATCACCTCACTAATCAAACCCATAACCTAATAACTTCAAATTTTTACAACCCATTTCTTTCATGACTTAAATAAACAATTTTTTTATGTTAAAATGTGATCCCAGATAGCCATAATTACATTTATAAAATAAAAAATAGATTCCAAAATGGATTAGTACCTATAGTTTTAAACATTTGCAAATTATGTGTAATGGGGAAGGATTTTGCCTTTTTCTCCCGCCAGGTGACACTATCACTATAGCCCTCAGTTTAAGGGAGTGAGAAAGACGACGATTATGTCATCTGCTGGGAAAAAACAAACAAATTGATGGTAAACATGTTTTTCTTATTTAACACCAAGGCATAGACTATATTGCTACATATAAAACACCAGGGCGCTCTACTTTCGTCAGAAGTGTGGTCCTCTATTAGTTTGGGCACTTATAGCGTGGTGGTTTTTTTTATTCATATTAAGACGAAAACTAAAGAAACTGAAAATTAAATTGACCCAAATTGGCAAAATCACAATCTTTACATTTAAGGCTATGTGGACATCATTTTAAAGAAAGTGATTTTAAAATTTATATTTTTCCCACTTTGGAGATGAATTTCGAAAAATCTTTTTTGTCGGATACCAACATCATAAAAGGAATACCTCCTCCAAGATTCGCGTTTCTATGACTAGTGGTTTAGGCTGTGTATTGATATGGATCAAGTTACTCAAGAACACCGCCGGATGCACCTCTCCTTCTCAATTCTTCCTTCAGTTGACCTAACTTTCAAGTACAATACATTGTACAGGTAAGACGCGAACACAATAGAAGCGAAAAACCAGGTATAAAGGAGATATCATAATAAATTGCATAACCTAAGACTGAATGTAAATAGACCATACGTGTGGCGCTCTCCTTCCTTAAAATTTTCCCCATTTTCTAGTAGTTTACATGACGCATCTACTTGCCTTTCACCAATACAATTATAGTTCCAATAGTCTTCATAAAAAAATGACATAAAAACATTGAAAAGTAGAAAATAACTGATTGGTAGTTTTCATTTACTATACTTACTTAATCAGATATTTTCGAAGTCGGTGTGCTTTGATTTGTATCGGCTGGCACCGACTAGTAGATGAAAACTACTAATCAGTATTTTTACTTTTTAGTGGTTTTTTTGAAGTCGGTTTTAATAGTTTTTTTATGTTTTTACGTTTCCCTGTTTAGTGTACACTAGTAGTAAAGTAAGAAAAAAAAATATTTTAATCAAATATTCGCTTAAGCCGTTTAAGTTGGTTTGATGCCATTTTTTTTATGAAGACTGACAAAGAAAATCGCTTTTATAAGTGACACAAAAAATTCTGGCTCTAAAATCTGATTCTAACGTATTGTGCTTATCAAATCAAACAAAATAAGCCCAAACTCAAAGTATCTACTATTAGCCGTTGAAAATTTACACTTATCCAACTTCTGGCCTTACCATCAGATCAGGTCGACGATATCAACGGAAATAGAAGCACTAGCAAAGTTTCAAGTCAAAATGACAATTAGATGTATGTTAAATTCATCATTAGCTATTTTTCTATCCCTAAGGCTGGTTTTGGTTACTGAGGCTTACTTTACAGAAAGACAAGAAACTTGGCCCGACCCGGGACTCGAACCCAGGACCTCCGGGTGTGCAGCCGTACATGCTAGCCGCTACACCACCGAGGCAGCGAGGTGTTGTCTACACACTAATAATATTGTAACTAAACCGAATCTGTACATTAAATATTTTTTAGAAAATCTTATTGAAATAGACATTATTACCCCTACAGAGGCCGAATCCATAGTTTTTAGATTTTTGGCTGTCTGTCTATCTGTTACGAAAAGTCGAATGCATCACGAAAAGTGGTTATCTGGTTAATCTTACGTTAAAACATAAGAAGGAACGAAAACGAGCGGAGCGAGGGTGAGTCGTTAGTTATTATAATAATCCGGTGAAATTTGCTTCCTTTAAGTTCAAAGTTACCCAAGCTTTATTTACTTATATGTTTTTAAAATCATATTTCTTTATCTGTGACATTCACATGTTTCATGTAAAATCTGTGTTTAACGTTTTAAAATTTTATAATTTATAGTTATTTCATCTGTGGGCCATATTTTATTTGGATAAAGATAGCTGATCTCATAACAATAATTAAAAGTGGCAATATACTCTATGTCAAAAGGTCGAGATGGCATAAGGATTGTATTTAGTAGTACTACTGTACTATATAATTCTGTGATTTATATTCATAATAATGATCAAAAATACACTGTGTTCAATTTTATGTAGTGCAACAAAAGTACTTAATACTTATTGATAGTAGATAACTCAAAAACCTTTATTATTATTAGCTTTTGCAAACAGCTATCATAGTATTGAGTGTACTGTTAAGTGTTATTTACAAATTACATCAGTGACACGACGTTACTGGAAAATGTTTTTATTAAAATTACCATTATATAGCTTTTTCGCATCGATAACCCTGTGACTGCTTGCTTACATAAATTTTACAATTCTCATAACGTATTCAGTGTCAGTGAAAATTTTGTAATGTCGTGAAGGGTTGTAGATTAATATGATGTGGACAGTGCCTTTAATTTTGGTCTCATGTTATTTAACGAAAGCAGACTATGATGCGAGATGTGGTGACGATTCTAAAACTGGATTGACATTGGATGTTTCTACTGATGGTGTTGAAGGACGATATAGTGTGGAGTGGTGCACGGCGGCGGATAGAAATGTTACGGCATGGGAGCTAGTAATGCGTTATGATGATCGGCCAAAAGAAAATTGTACTGATTATGATATTTTCTCGCCAGGATTGTTCCACTCACGCTTCATTGAACCTATCACACTTAACATAAATTGTACCAATGTCAGTATAAATTTATATAATACTATTTTAATATGATGTATTTTACCCCGCATATTATGTAGATACATCTTTTTAAACTGCAAGTACAACTGTTGCAACTGAATATGAAAGTTCAAAAATCTCTCATACTAATGACTTGTCTTTGGTATACCTAAGTATTATATCACTACTATTGACACAAGCATATAATGAAAAAGCCACTCTTAATAGTATAGTAAAGTAATATATCATTATTTAGATTGCAAAAATATTTATTATTTATATGAAAATGCTTACCTGGATATTAACTGTAATTATTCTGTGCATAGTAGTTGACGATGATTTAAAAAAAAATGTTTTTTTATTTTATTATTTCCTTGTATGTGTTTATCTTAACTGCTCTACCCGTATATCATCCTTTAATAATTATTTTTGATAAATAAGACTTTTATAATAGAAACATAATTTCAAATATTTCAGGTATGCTTCACCAAGTACTTGGATCTAATATTCAATGGCACCTGTTACTACATTAAGACATGGCTTAGGCGAGAAACAACTTATGTTTCTGATGACATATTCCATTACATCACAAACCCATACAATAAAGAGCATTTCACTGAAAACCAAGTATACTTCTCTTCTATTACTATTGAGTAAGTATTATTGGCTCAAATTTTCATGCTATGTTATTATATGATATTAGCATTGTCTGTGGTACTGTCTGCTTAGTTTATTTATGTGCAATTGTTCCGGTCCTTAAGGTAGCATGATGTTAGATAGCCCACAATCTCCCTCATTAAATAGGTTCAAAAATGCAAAAGAAATTTCTCAAATTGAATTGGTACTTCCAGAGAATAGTGTGTTCTAACAAACTCTTCAGTTCTATATATTAGTATAGACATATTATCAACAAAATAATGTTAGTTTAGTAATATTTTTATATGCAAGAAAAATACAATGAAATAATAACTGTATAGTTCTAATATACAGAACAATACACACTTAATAATTACTACACAAATTATCATGTCAGCAATGAATTGTGGCAAGAATGCTAGTTTCATTCTTCTGTTGTATTGCTGTGATATTATAACACAAAGGTTCTTCTTTTTCAACATTATCCTCTCAATATGAAGAGAAATAGGCCTTTAGTAATGGGCAACCACTGTTATTTTGCATTAATTCACTATGTCTATTTATTTATATTAGTACCTGGGCGACCGGAGTTTTTGGCTAAAGGTACAATTTTCTTTAAAAAAAAAAGTAGAATAAATACAAAAAGTAAAAAGTAAATATAACCGACCGGGTTTCAAACCTGGACACCTATGAGTGTCAATCTTGCGACTGAGCCGCTTGACCACGATGCTTATATCCGAGTGTGCGAAATTATCAAACATAATTTGAGCGGAATAATGCGAAAGAAAACCGCATGAAAACTCAAAAACCCGCGTTTTCCCAGACATAAGACTAACTAGATCGATTTATCGGCCTACAAACCCCCTGTGTCCTAAATTTCATGAAAATTGTTGGAGCCGTTTCCGAGATTCAGATTATATATATACAAGAATTGCTTGTTTAAATATATTAGATTTATATAGGTCATAGTTGAAAAGTAAGAGATAAGTAGATAATGATTTAGCATTAATTTAAGCCAAATAATATACCTTATCATTTAAACTAAAATCAAAATATAACATTTTGTGAGAAGCTTATGAGTCCAGGTAATAAAAAATTTTTTTCTTCAAATATATAACAACACTAAGATTATTCATAAATTATTAAATATTTTTTTTAAATTGCAATAATTACAATCACAGTATTTAAATAAATATATATATTAAATAAATATATTAAATGTTCAACTATCAAACCCATTGAGATTATAAAAACTGTTTAAGATTAAAACTAACAAATATTGAAAGGTACTTTGGTGCTATTTTTGTATTTTTGAAAATCATTGTTTAATTTTGTGGGTATGTGCTGTCTGTAAGAACTATATAATGACCTTTGAGGTTATAACCTTATCCTCGGTACGTGAGGAACGCTACCATACATTGTGACCTCCGTATCGAGAGCATAGACGACTTCGTCCTCAGACTATCCCGGGGGATGTTTGAAAAAGCTGACTCCTCAGACCATACTCACGTCAGGGACATTGCCCCCTTGACCCCGAAGACTCCGGAGTTGCTGCCGATCGGTCGTGATCGCCTAGCTGGGCTTCCCTGAACAGGGTCTCACCCGGCTGGGCTGATCGCCGGGCAGCGACTCCTCCACTCTGATGCCTAAAGGGTCCTGGATGGGCCCCCCAGAGACGCGCTCATATTAGGGCGGCGGAAGAACCCATGACCGCCATGGCTATCCCCTTAAGCCATCACCAACTCCCCTTGCCGGGGGTGTGAGAAGACCTACGCACTAAAACCTTAGTGTCTCGCGTGACCATGGTTGCTGTAAAGCATTTGAAACTTCGGGAACAAAAAGTCAAAATAAAACTGCAATGATAATTTTATTTAAAATGTCAAATATTCGCGTAAATCTAAGAAAATTTATGAACCTTACTAATATTATAAATGTGAAAGTTTAGATGGATGTTCGGTTATTTGTTACTCTATCACTCCAGAACGACTAAATGGATCTGAATGAAATTTGGCACAGAGATAGATTATAGTCTGGAATAGCACATATATTCTACTTTTTATCCGTGAAAAATGTAGGGTTCTCGTTGGATAGATCTGTTTTAGTCCGTTTTAGTAATTTAAAATAATTTATATTATATTAAAATTAAAATGTAACAGCTAGTAAATAATGCATAAAGCTAAATATATACATATTGTTATTTTCAGTGACGAGATAGTGTTGCAGCTGCACCCGGGATACATTCCCATTACCAAATATGAAATGGAGCTGCACAACGAAAATGATACGGTTAGTATGTGTGAGGCAAATATAATAATAATATGTTTTATTTCAAACAACATTGACTCATTATTTGTTAGTTATCCTCTATCCTCTATGTTAGTACTTACCCTAAAAACTTATGGTAAACTTATTAATTATTATTATGCGAGTGATTACTGCTCTACTCTGTTTGGAGTAGAAAATATGGTACGAGAGATTATAATTATTTATCAACGATAAGATTCTAAGAATAAGAACTTTGTTATCAACAACAAAAATAAAAATTCGACATGTTCAAAGACGGAAAAAATTTGCAACAATCACGCAGGAATTTTGATAATGATTGAAATGAATTAATTAAAATAAAATTTAAAATATTGAATTAATTATTATTCCCCAGTGTTATCAATTGCAAGTTTTTGCGAATGATTCTATTCTATTAATTTCTCAAAGATCATCTACAATGACATCATAAACACTCCAAAAACTATTTTTTTCTTGTAAATCTTTTTTTTTTAATTTTAATTCAATTATGATTTGATTGCTATACTATACGGCCAAACTATAATGTATATATGTAGTACATGTCTGTTATAGTTTGGCCGTTGTAAACACTCCTTCTTCTTCTTAGTCGTTACAATCTTGACAGACTGGTCGTGGCCATCATATAGGTCTTGTAAACACTACCATCTCAATATAGTCATAGGAACTTAAGTTTTGTCCATGCTGCATGTGAGATTATTTTATCAAAATGGGTTACAGATGTTTCGTTTAAAAAAAAAGACTATTTTGTGTAAAAATAATTAGTAAATTGGTTTTTAGTTACATCGGTTGCTATTTTAATCAGTTAGTACTTATTAAAATTGCTACATACCTAACTACTACATATAAAACATACTAAATAAATATATTATAAGAATAAAAAAGCCCTACTGATAAAAGCTAATTAAAAAGATGAAAACAAGTTCACGATGGAATATAAATAAATAAAATAAATAAATGAATATCGTATTATGCAGTCGGAGTCCACATACACGTTTCATGCTTGCCGCAACATGTTATATGTACTCGTATGTAACTCGTATGCAGTCGGGTTTCTTATTTTTATATTTTATATAAAAATGATTTTTAAATAACTATTCAACAATACCCCACTTGATATAGTTAGTCCATTTTCATTTTTTTTTATTATGGAATCTAGTAGCCCCCATATTTATCTATTTTTTATATCACTTATCTAAGAACACTCGGACTTATGAGACGAATCTAACGACACCTTAATTAAAGAAATTCATGGAGTGGTTTAACAGATATGATGGAATAAAGAATATTACCAATAAACATACAAAGATAGGCGCGAAAAACATAACCTTTTCCTTGTATTCGGGTAATACTCGTAATTTGTAAAATGTGTCAGATTGGAGGTCGTAGGTTTAAGTTTGGGTCGGCGGCCCCAGTATAGTTGTTGAGCATTTTCTTCGAGAAATATTTCGTAGCAGCCCGGAATTGGGAATTTGGTGGTATTTCATCCGGCCGTGCCACGTAAAAGCCGTCAATGCTGCGCCTGCTCATTGCCAAGTTGTATCGAATTGTCGTCCGGCCGGAGTATGACAGTGACAGAAAACGAGAGTACATTGATTTTGCTCACACAATATTTCCTGCGCATTTGGTTATGAGAGAGATCACCATCATAATGAGATCGGCCAGAATATCATTATGTAGTGCCTAATGTCAAAAATAACCACTTGCATTGTCCGGCAGTGGGAGGAGGACATCACGCGCAACTGCAGCGCGTCGGCGTCGGGCGTGCGCTGCGCGGTGCGCGCGCCGCTCGACTGCTACGTGGCGAGGTTCCGCCACCGCACGCCGTGGCTCCCGCTCTTCAACGGCTCGCTCAACTACGAGTACCTTTTCTGTGAGTATATGACACACACACACACACACACACACACACACCCAATAAAATTATACCAATAGATCATTGCAAAATCGTTAATGTTTAAATAACATAAGAACTACATGTGATATTATATGTACCGATAATGTTGCTAATAAGAATCACATCTGTACATTACACATCTTCTCTATAATTTAAAAATGAATCGCTGAATGTGTTGCTAAGCGCAAATCTCGAGAGAGAGAGAGAGAGAGAGAGAGAGAGAGAGATGGTGACCTCTTCGTGATGTGTGTCGCCCTGGTGTTTGACGCAAGGAGAAGTAACCGCATACTTTTCGGAGCTCGTCTTAATAACCTGTAATTTTATTATTTCCTACTATCGGTAGGACCTTGATATATTTAAATGGAATCGATATCGAATTTTTATTTATTAGTTAGTGATCTATGATCACTTAAATCGATGGGTATAGATAGAGCTATCAGTGAGTTATATTCCAGGCCACAACGTGACGCGCGCGCCGCGCGTGGCGGGCGCGGGCGCGGACGCGGCGCGCTGGGCGGCGGGCGGCGGCGCGGCGGCGGCGCTGCTGGCGGCGCTGCTGGCGGCCGCGTGGCGCGCGCGCCGCGCCGCCGCCCGCCGCCAGCGCGTGCTGTGGGACTGGCTCGCCAGGTGGGTGCACGCTCTACCGATGACTACTAAACTGGACTAGTAAATTAGCTGGTAGTCTTACGTTGAATTTATTGCTAAAATTTTGAAGATATTTGTTAAGTCAAAGATTATATAAAGGCATAGATTTCTTTTTTATGAAAATGATATTACAGTACCTACATCTCGTTCGTTGGCCATGTTTTTGTTTTATCTCAATGCCAGGAGGGAGCCGCCATTCGCAGCGGAGTGCAAGGCGGCGGCGGCGGGGGTGGCGGTGGGGGCGGAGGGCGCGGAGGAGGAGGAGGGCGCGGCGGTGGTGGTGCTGCTGTACGCGCGCGACTGCGCCGCGCTCATGCGCGTGGCGGCGTGCCTGCGCGCGCTGCTGCAGGACGCCACCGGCTGCCAGGTACCGGCTGTAGCGCGGACTATTGCAAAACACAAGTATCTACGTAAACACGACGTGCACAGTGCATCCTTTATTCTTTTTACCTTACCTACTTACTTAAAGTCATGTGGGTTGATAATTCGACAGGACTAACACAAGACTACCTTATTAAGCTATTGCATAGCTTCTATCACAGGCCTTGAGCGTGGGGACCGAATCCAGAAATTCCGTAACGAAAAAACCTGACACCCCCCCACTCCGACCGGCACAGCGGTGATACTTTTTAGTTTTTCCATCTATCGATAAATACCAGAACTTTTAATAACTTTTTGAAATATCACGCTTGTCTCTTTAGTTCAGCAACCCGCCTTTAGGTGGCATTGGTTGTATTGGAAAATTACCATAATCAGCTGTTTGTGAGAAAGTATATAAGTGTATAGGTATTTATCATCTATGTACAACAGTGAATATCTGTACTCGTATAATTTGTGTACAAAGTGTTTTAAATATGAATAAACAAAGTGCATTTATTAATGAAGAAAGTCAAGGAAAAAAAATACTGCATTAATAAAATAAATAAATTATTATAATTGCATAAGTTGATAAAAAATGCTATGCAATAGCTTTACCGCGGCAGTCTCCGAGTGCCACATTTAATTTATTTTTTGCTCTTGTTAAACATATGAGCATCTTTTTTAAAGTAAAATTTAATAACTATCTTCAACTCAACTTGGAAGTTGAACTCGGGATATTCTAAATCTGCTATTTGTTGTTGTGTTGTTTATGTCCGTTAATAGATCAACGAGGTCAAGTACACACGTATATGAATTTTATAATCTGCACTAGAGATCGAGAGCATATTTTGATTGCAGTTTAATATTTACGAGATGCATGATAAGACATAGATAAAATGTAATTTACAGTTATACTTACTTTTATATGACAGTCGGGAAACAGTTTTAGGGTCGACTGATTTGACTTGTTAGTCACACGTGCCACGAGATGGCACTACAGTATTTTAAAATCGTCTGAAAACTATTTCCCATTAAAATTGGTATGTATTGACAATTCTTGCATTCGGTAAAAGCAAAATTAAGAATTCTAGTAAAATCAATGGGTGATGCGTACTATATGTCCGATCGAGTCCGATATTGTCACGGTCGCTATAACATGTCGTTATTTAACTAATTAGATAACAATTTGACGAACTTCGTCGGATAGATGCTTCCATGTATAAGTGTTGGATAAATTAATGGACTCGGTTTTACATCAGACCTCACAACTTTTTGAGATAGAAGAAATGCGTTATGAGACATGTGATGTTTTCGGTGTCGCAGGTGGTGGACTTGTACTCGGCCTCGGCGGTGGCGGCGGCGGCGGGCGGCGCGGCGCGCTGGCTGCGCGCGCTGCTGCGGCGGCCGCGCGCGCGCCTGCTGCTGCTGCAGACGCCGGCCGCCGCCGCGCTGCACGCGCCCGCGCCCGCGCTGCGCGACCGCGCGCCGCCGCAGCTGCCCACGCGTCAGTACACGCCATATCTAATATGTAAAACTCCTCCGCAACGGTTCGACCGATTCTTATAAAATTTTGTGTGTACATTCGGTAGGTCTGAGAATAGGACGTAAACTATTCCTCATACCCCTAAGTGATGAGGCTCGCCCACCCTAGGGACGGACCCGAGCGGAGCGAGGGAGAGTCGCTAGTATTTTATACAATTTTTAGAATGAAGTTCCATAACGTCGCTTGCGGTAACATCACGTAACGAAAAAGATCATTCATGCTTTATTATTTACTAAGAGCATCCCATGTAACGTTACCACGAGTACCAGGCGGGCATAAGTGTTAAGGAGGTCGTATGCACCCTGACGGGGCCCTACTTATATAATAAGCACTCCTTGAAGTTTGTGGTACCCTAGTACTCGTGGCAAAAGTACCAGACGATCATAAGCGTTTAGGAGTATGTATATGTTGTAAGAAATTCGTGTGCACTCTGTGCAGGCTTTTTTCGATATGTAGTGTAAGGTTGCATTTTTATAAATTGAGTGTTTTAAAAGAAAATAATATATTTGATTAATTTGTAATGAATTATGTATAAGGCATTTACTTATGCGACCTTGGCCGATAGGAATGTGTTTTAAAAAAATAAATAAAAAAAGGGCGCGGATATTCATTTGTTTTCCCGCGCTTTTGCACAGAGATGTCGGTACCACCATGTAGTGACTAGGCGCGAGTTGTTTGTAATACTGAAAAATTATGATTATAAGTTATGTAACTCACTTACGTTTAGAAAAGTACTGAATATAAGAATATAAGCAAGGAATATGTCGAAATTTTATTAGGCGTCCAACAGTAGGGCTCCTTCAAAACGTACAAACTAACTCTTTATTATGTGTGATCGCCTGGTACTTGTGATGACGTCACACGAGGTGTTCTTAGTGTCGCGCCGTCGGAATATTTCCACTTGCCCCCGTCTAACTCACATTCGCCAAGTGTGCCGACTGCCCAGTGTAACGTGTGATAAGGAACTTTGTTCTAAAAATGTTATTCAATCTTTAAAAAATTATAGTTATTCGAGGTGAGGTCTACCCAACTGTAATACGTAGGTACTTTTAGATAAAAGTCGGGTGACCGTTGTAGTGTTGTCGGATATATCTGTAACTTGCCACGAGAGGGTACTGCAACGATTTAACTTTGAAACCGTTCATCATGAAAATAAATATTTTTGACAACTCTTGTGACAGTATTCCTGTTTCAACAATCGACAATCGCGTACTGTATGGGTTTTTATATTTCGGTTGTATTAGAGATATAGTTCCGTGATTAACGTGAATATGTTAATTAATTTTAGTGTTGCTATTTTCAAGTGTGACAAGTTTTATTACATCGAGTTATTGATTAAAAATTACATATTTGATGTTATTTACATATGTATAATAATATAAATATGTAAAAATAAAACTATTAAACGACGACGAAAAAGATAACGTAATAATAGTCCCTCCGACGGAGGAGGAGGCGGTGAGGTTCACTAAAAAATTATAATAATTTAATGGCAAATAAATTATTTAGAATTGAATGAACTGAATCGAATGTTCGAATTAAAACCTGTTAAAACGAATCTCTATTGAATAAAAATATAAAATAGCGTGTGTAAAAGTGTGTGTGTGTGCACTGCGCAGTGAGCGCGCCGCTGCTGGGCGCGCGCGCGGCGTACCGGCGCCCGCACGCCGGCGACGCCGCCTTCGCGCTGGCGCTGCGCCTGCTGGCGGAGACCGCGCACGTGCACCCGCAGCCCTACCGCAAGTTCTACGTCGCTGAGTCAGTACACAATACATTATATATATTTTTTTTTAATTATGAACTTAACTTCTTTTGACACGATAGGGAAAAAATGATGAAAGTGAATTTTTCCGATGCGACAGGATTAGACTACAGTATGAAGTTAGTTATTAAATCACCCTTTACTACAGTGAAGTGAGCACTGTTTGTTGAAATAGAGTTCACCGCTGAATTCTGCAGCCATAATACACTGAAAAATCTTTCAGTACACATAATTACTTGAGTTTAAATATTTCCATGGGTGGTTATTATGTATTTCTTTTAGAGGCTCATATAACATATTGCTCCGAACGTTATTTTAACTGCTTCCATACATACTTTGTATGACATATACATGTGTTTTATTAAGCTTTAAGTTCTTTGTTTTATAGTTATATTTTATACTATACTAAATATACTCTTGTGCCAAATAAACGTACACAATATTAAAAAAATTTTTTTACAAGGGTCACAGCTTTAGTTGCATATTTTAATTATTATGATATATTTACATTATAGCTTATTTATTACTCGATCAGTATCTCTTATATTATTATTAAGTTTCATCAAAATTTGTTCAGCAGCTTTTCCATAAAGGAGTAAGGAATATATACCTATATATCCTATTAGTGTTAAATTTTATATATCATGAGGATTAATAAAAATATAGTTAGTATAGATGTTAATAAATGGCGTCTTATGTATCAATTCGGTGCTACAAGAGAATACTAAAAAGGTGTATATATATTTAAACAACATTCCTCAATTTATCGAGTGATCGATAATGCAGCTAAAAAGTAGGCACATGCCCCACGTAACGGTATGTGTGTCCCCGCAGGATGGCGGGGCTGCCGGCGGAGGTGGCGCGCGGCGTGACGCCGCTGCGGCGCTACGTGCTGCCCGCCGCCGCGCCCGCGCTGCTGCGCGACCTGGCCGCGCCCGCGCCCGCCCCCCCGCCGCCCTGCGCGCGCTGGCCGCCGCGGCGGGGGAGCTGCGCGCCTTCGTGCGCGACCACCCGCGCTACCTGGACGACGAGCTCATCTTCATGTGACCGCCCGGCGGTGGTGCGGCTGTGGTGTGTGTGACGTGACTTATCCAATGAAACGACCTATCTCATCCGTCGTGTGTGCTACAGATACACTTTTAACATAATTTACGGTTATATTCTCGCCTACGTCGATTGATATCTGTGATATATAATAACATATTTTATATACGATACGTTTAATAAACGTTTCGGATTTTGTTTGGAAAATATGTCAGCAAAAAATTCATTTAGAAACGTAATATATTTTTTTATAAGAATATCACGATAATTAATACGTAAATAGTCATTAAATAAGTCGCCTTATTCAGTTCGAGCACACGCATAATACCTCATTGCACATGTTTAAGCAACCTCGTGAAAACTTAATGAAACAGGGAAAATAGAAATTAACTTATTAGCATATATTGCAAAGAGAAAGTTATTTACAGAGACAAGTACAGAGTGGGCACTGGCGCCACAGACAACAAAGATGTAAATATTATTTAATCTACTTGCGTTGTGTTTAGCTTCGAACATCCTCCCTTAAACACAACCCCATCTTCGACGAACAAAAGGACAATTTAGAGTACGAAGTTGCTTTAGTAAGGGCATCGGCGACCATCACGTCGGTTTGTATATATCGAATATCAATTGCTCCCTCAAGCTCAAGTACTTTGTCACGAACAAAATGGTGCCTCACGTCTATATGCCTCTCTGGTCCTAGAGCGGTACTTGTCAGAACCTGAAACTTTAATAGAACTTTGATTATCACTGTAAATAATTATGGCCTCGCCTTTTATATGTGACCAGAAAACGCATGGAAGCATAACAGTACCCATGACTCATGCTCTCATCTAGGGTTTGTTTATAACTAAGTCTGTAATCATGAGTGCCTTTTAACTAACGCATTATTGGTGCAATCTAACGTTGCATTTCATTCTTGATATTGTGTTTACTCAACATATTAATAACAAAACTTATGTCAGGCCTAGTAACTTAAGATATATACAGCCCTGGATTTACACTTGTGGCACTCGGGGCTAGTGCCCAGGGCGGCAAATTTTTTGGGGCGGCAAAATTCGGAGGGCGGAAAAAAATTTCTTCGCGTTATCGAAAATGCTATTTTTATTTTACAAAAAATGACAAATAAAAAAAGATGAATTAGTAGGTACATTTTAAATAAAACTGTCTTTCGGATTATTTCGCGGATTTATTTTGATTTTTGGTTCCCGACGTTTCGAATACTGTACAGCAATAGCGGTCACGATAATAGGGCGGCAATTTTTACTGTGCTCAGGGGCGGCGCTGAGGTTAAATCCGGCCCTGGATATATATAATAGTCAACCAAAAATTCTAGTGTTAAGGAATATCATATAAAATGTTTGTTTCTTCTGACTTCAGGATGCAAGTCTTACAACAGGTGAAAATACTTCAGTGTAGTCAATTTCTAATTTTTGTGAACATCCTTTTATCACAAGTCGAGCTGCCAACGTCCATACCACGTTGAATACGTTGAATACACAAGTCGAGCTTTGTATTTAACTATTTTCATTTGTTTTAGTCTTAAAAACCCTGTTACATCCGACCTGGGGTTTTACCAGAGTGATGAGTGGAAGCGTGAAATGTCTCCAGGTTCAAGGGGGACGAACATATGACTGCGATACACAGCGCTTATATATATCAAAAAAAAAGGTACCTTGCGTTCTTCTCCTTCAATGATGCTGCCTTAGGTATAAATCTAATTACCATTAAACTACAATTGGCCAATCATAACGTCTAATGCTAACTGATTATACTCAACTGAAGGTGGCAGGATGAAGATGCTCCAGGATGCGCCTAGAAGGCCGACATACGGCGTAGGCACTCAAATACGCACAAGTTTACACTGAATTGTCAGTTCACTTTCATATAAGTACAAATTAAAGTCAATTGATTCTTATTTAACAAGTTTTACGTCGGCACGTGGGCGATGCAATTATGCACTCAAAACCGGCCCCGTGCTCATCAAAATATACAATTATCAATATGTTATTTGCACGTCTTATTTAACAGTCCAATCTAAGATATGCCGCACAAAAAACCATCACAAAAAAGGGCAAAATTACCGAGATGAATCAAACACGCGGCGTATATTTCAAAGGTTCCAACGGCAAGGGCGACAGCCGGGGTCGCCGGCGCAATAGATAAGTGAAGTGACAGTTGTCACTGTCAAGTCAAAATGATGTGACACAGACTCTTAAGTTTTTGCGTGTGCATACAATAGTTTGGTTTATAACATCTACCCGCCTCGGCCAGGACTACCTGGCCGTTAATTTACTGGCAGTCGAGACAAGGTTGATACCGCTCTCTTCAGAACAGAACCGTCCACACGGACCTCAGCAAAACGGGGCACTCCATCTGCTCCAAAGACAAGGTTAAGAATGCGCCCTCTGCGCCAACACAGTGGCGGTGAGTTAGCGTCCTTAACCAGAACGAGGTCACCAACATGAGGTGGATCAGTCTTTTCAGTCCACTTAACGCGCTGCTGGAGAATGTGCAAGTATTCTAAATTCCAACGCTTCCAAAAACTCTGAGTGAGTTGTTGGACCAATTCAAACCGCGAGAGACGATTGGGTTTCACATCAACAAGGGGGTATTCCGGCAGGGCGTTCAGCGGCTGTCCAATCAAAAAATGGCCCGGTGTGAGGGCTTCCAAGTCGTTAGGGTCTGAAGAGATCGGGCATAACGGGCGTGAATTTAAGACGGCTTCAATTTTGCAAAACACAGTTGCGAGCTCTTCAAATGTCAATACAGACTCACCAATTACTCGTCGCAAATGTGTCTTGGCAACCTTTACCACGCTTTCAAATATTCCTCCCCAGTGGGGACATGACGCGGGACTGAACTTCCAAGTTATTCTGCGACTAGCTAGTCTAGACGCAATTTCAGTCTTGTTAGACTCCAAAAAATCACATATCTCTTTTAAATAGTTGTTTGTGCCTTTGAAGTTGGTGCCGCAATCCGACCGAATCAAGGATGGTAGTCCTCGTCGTGACACGAATCTATCTAACGTTGCAACAAAGGCCTCTGTAGAGAGGGCTGAGACGAGTTCCAAATGTACCGCCTTGGTGGATAGACAGACAAAAACGCACAGGTAAGCCTTGACCGTTTTACTGTTCCTGAGGGTCGAAGTCTTAACTGAAAAGGGACCTGCAAAGTCCGTACCAACTCCAGCAAAGGGCCTTATCTCAGTGACCCGATCCGAGGGCAGGTCACCCATGATGGGCTGCATGGTAGAGGCCTTGAGCCTATAGCAAGGCATGCAGCGAAAGACCACGCTACGGATCGTCCGTCGGGCCGATAAAATCCAAAATTCTCGCTGTAAAATGGCCAATAAGGCATTACAGCCGGCGTGGGAGTTCTTGATGTGACGATCAGTCACCAACAAATTCACCAAATGGCCACTCTTGGGCAACAGGAGGGGGTGACGAGCTCCATAAGGGAGGTTTGCGTTCCTAAGACGCCCTCCGACACGTAAAAGACCCTCACTGTCCAAGAAGGGGTTCAGTTTGCAAATGGCTCCAGACAACTTGGATTTGCCCCTCCTCAAGATGTCAATCTCGTTCTCAAAGTGTGCTTCTTGTACAGAACGAACCCAATGAAGAAGAGCATCCTGGAGCTCTCGCGGCGATAAGAACGCCTCCAAACGTTTGTCCTGTGGGTGTCTACAATTTCTGATGAAGCGCTTGATCCAAGCGGTGACACTCAGCAGTTTATCCAATGAGCTGTAGCGATTCATTAAAAAATCTGGGTCGAACGGACGGTCCTGCCGTTCAATCGCAAGCGTTCGAAGTCCAGGCAACGCGACAGTATCCAAGGCCGGTGTTCGGGGCCAATTAGGTTCTGATCTAGTCAACCACTCAGGTCCCCACCACAAAGAGTGCTCAACCAACAGGGGGGCCATGCATCCCCGTGACGCACAATCAGCAGGGTTGACTTCGCCAGGCACATGCCTCCAAATCAACGGGGTCTCCGATTTCTGGATCTGAGAGACACGATTTGCTACAAACACCTCTAAGGTGTGGACCGAAGTCTTCAGCCAACACAGAACAATTTGACTGTCAGTCCATGCATAGACTGTGGTAATGTTAACTGACGGGCGCAAGGTAAACATGACATGGTTCAAGAGGCGAGCAAGAAGGGCCGCTCCCGACAATTCTAACTTAGGAATTGTCAACGCAGTTCGAAGAGGGGCGACCTTGCTCTTTGCCATGACTAACGACACCTTCACCTGACCATCTATGGTCACGGTGCGCAAATATACGACTGCTGCGTACCCTCGTTCCGAAGCGTCCGAAAACCCATGAAGGGACGCTGTATACTTCCCTGGAGGAAGCATAGCACGGGGTAACGATATTCTATTGATGGCAGGCAATGAGGAAGCAAATAGGAGCCAGTCCTCCAAAACAGCTTCTCGGAGTGGCTCGTCCCATCCGAGACCTGCAGTCCAAAGTCTCTGCAGGAAGCATTTGGCCCAGAATATGACCGGGCATATCCAGCCGTTGGGATCAAACGTTCTCGCGACAGTCGAAAGAACCAGTCGTTTCGTCCAAGTATGAGGCGAATCCAAGTCAACGTTAAATGTGAAGATGTCCTGGACTGGTCTGTACTGGATTCCAAGTACTGTCATCATGGCAGGATTGTCACGATTCTCAAAGAGGTGAGGATCTTGCTGGTGGTCATCCGGTAGCCCCTCCAAGAGCGCAGGCAAGTTGGAGATCCATTTACGCAGCTCATATCCTGCGGAGGCTAGTATTCCAATCAACTCGTCACGCAAAAGGAGAGCCTCTCTCTCCGTGGACGCGCCAGTGCATATGTCATCAACATACAGGTCTTCCTTCAAAATGGCGGCTGCGCGAGGAAACGACATACGCTCTCGATCCGCGAGCTCCCAAAGCGAACGGATGGCCAAAAAGGGGCTAGACCGTAGCCCGTATGTGTTCGTATTGAGCTCGTAAACAAGCATGGGATCTTTCGGGTTTTCCCGCCACAATATCAACTGATATCGTCGATCATCAGGGTGAATTACCGTTTGCCTGAACATCATCTTGATGTCAGTCACAAAAACGAATTGATGACGCCGAAACCGAGTGATGACGTCACAAAGGTCCTTAAGCAATTTGGGACCAGAGTGAAGACACTGGTTCAAGGACACTCCCGATGTGGTCTGCGCAGAACCATCAAATACTGTGCGCAGCTTGCCACTTGATGGTTTTATTACCGCATGATGCGGGAGGAAAAAATGCTCCGTCGAGCTCCAGTCAACCTTTGACACGGACATGTGTCCCAAATCCTCATACTCCCGCATGAAGTCAATATATTTCTCCTTGAGTAGCGGGTCCCTGCTCATGCGGCGCTCCATTGCCAGCAAACGCTTCTCTGCAGTAGGCCGCGAGTCGCCAAGGGGCGGACGTACGGTGAGAAATGGCAATCTTGTCATGATCCGGCCAGAACGGAGGTAAGTGGTGTTATTATTATAGAACCGTTCACAATCCTCATGTTCCGGATCAGAGCGGGGCGCTTGTGGTGGCTCTTCTACTTCCCAAAATCTCTGCACGGCGTCAGAAAGGGCGGAGCCCACCATTAAGGCCGTTCCAAGTTCGGCAGGGGGGGGAGCCTTCAATACAGGCCCCATCAAGGCGAACCCAAAAATGGTCCGGAGGGCCACTAGGCCACCTGGCTGCAAAACACGATCCTTACCAAGTAATATTTTGCCCAGAACATCAGCACCAAGCAACAAATCTACCGTGCCAGGTAGGTCAAATTTAGGGTCAGCCAAGTTCAAACCAGCGGTCAATTTTACCGCATCCGCAGACAATCGAACTTGCGGGTGGCTGCCCAGGATATTCTCCATCACAATGGCGGACGATCCCAACGTCGGGCGTGGAGAATTTGAGGGGGAGAATTCAAGCCAAACGCGGCCCTTAACCGTGGCCACAGGGGCGTTCCCGACACCTCTGATTACATCTGAATACTTTTTAATAGTCTGGCCAGTCTGCCCTACCAACCAAGACGAGGCTATGCAACCTTGTGAGCCTGTGTCCAATATCGCTCGGACTACAACCGAGGCACCCGTCCGTCCCCAGACCCTGACATAGGCCGAGGGCAAGAGAACGGTCTCAAAAGGGGGCGGTGCATAGCGGGGGCAGACGCCGACATCCTAATGTTTGCGTGGCGGCGATCGAACGCCGCAGTGCCGGGACGGCGCGTCAGAATGAGGGAAGGGTTTGAACTCTGCTTCCCCTCGGTGACGACTGCCACGAGCCATAGTCGGTGGTTTATAGCCCCTGGAGCGTCCGTATCGAGGGTTGCGCGACTCCAAACGGGGACGCTCCGCCAGAGGGGGGGATGGCAGTCGTACCGGACTTGCATCACAGTAATCGTGGTACACGACCTGAGGTGACCTTGATTGGTCACGCGAGGGCAAGGGGGGCGAGCGGGACTCCAAACTGCGGGACTGGTCCCGGCGTCCACTCACATACCCGCCCGTGGGGCTGCACGCCGAACCATGTCGGCGGTCAACGGCAACACAATCTGCGCAGCGAGGGGGGGGTGAGCCGGACTCAAAACTGCGGGACTGGTCCCGGCGTCCGCTCACATACCCGCCCGTGGGGCTGCGCACCGAACCATGTCGGCGATCAACGGCAGCGCAATCTGCGCGGCGTGTGGGGGATGAGCCGGACTCAAAACTGCGGGACTGGTCCCGGCGTCCGCTCACATACCCGCCCGAAGGCGACCCCGCGTGGTCGCGGCGGCCATTCGCGTTGGCACACAGCAGTTTCAAGTGCTGCCCTCTGCAAACAGGACACGGGTGCGTGTCGGGGCAGGCGCGCTGATAATGGTCCCCTAGGCATGAGAAACACCAGCCTCGGGCCTGAGCAATCCGCCTACGAGCGGCCACATGCAGCGCTGCAAATTCCGGGCACTTCGCCGTTTTGTGCCCCTGGGACTTACAAAATCGGCAGTCCGGTCGTGCGGCCTGAGCGACAGCAAAGCGGGAAGTCAATTTTCCCCTTGGCGCAGTTTGAGCAGTGCGACGTTGGTTGGTGGGTCTGGGACTTGATGCTCCCACCGGTGTAGAGGCGACCATAACGTCACCCATGCGACACTCGTCCTCCAGGAAGGTCAGGAGCTGTTCAAAGGTAGGGAGAGGAGAAGCCTCATCCCTAGCGTGCCCCTGTTCAAAGCGTGCCCTCAAGGACACCGGCAACCGCTTAAGTACGATACGCACCAGTAAATAAGACCACTGGGCAACCGGCAGTCCCAAGCGGTGGAGAGAGTTAGTGGCTATTAGAAGGGGGTTGAGCAGCTCGGTCCTCAACTGGGCGGTATTGCTCACGACGGGAAGGTCCATAATCTGGTCGATATGGGCATCGGCCAGGCAGCGCTCATTGTGGTAGCGCTTGGTGAGCAATGATCGCGCGACTTCATAGCTCCCGTCACGTATGGGGAGGTGCTGCACTAAGCCCCTCGCCTCTCCATCAAGCACAGAGAGTAGATAGGCCAACTTTTGAGACGGGCCCAAATCGTCCCTGGAATCTACAAGGCTCTCGAACAAGCCAATGAATCCCAGCCACGTGTCTAACCGACCATCAAAACGTGGAAGATCCAAATTGGGTAGTTTAGTCAAAAGGCCCACGGGAGTTTTCAAGGGAGCGCTGTGAGGCGGTACTCCGGCGCGCGAGGCTAGAACCTCTCGCGCGCGTTGGGCGATGTCGTCGGCCAGGTTCATAATCTGGGTGTAGTCCTCATGGACTTGTTCCCGCCGATGCTCCGGGAATGACTCCAGAGGTACATCATCCAGATGTGAGATGAAGCGCTGATAATGTTCCTCCACCTCCTTGAGTCGTGTAGGGCATTTCTCATGTCTATCCAACAATGCCTCTGTACGATCCTCCCTATTCACCAATGCGGCAGCGGAAGTGAACCATCTCAGGTGAGCCACAATCCCGGAATATGAGTCACGGACAATAGTGAATGCGGCGGCAGCCATCTTCAAAAACACAAAGGACACAAGCAAACAAAACAAAATAATATTGTAATAACAACAAAAAAGTTATAACTTTCAAATGAGACAATAGTGTTATCAATTTAAATAAATATCAAATCTCAAAAATATACCTAAATAGGAGTACAAAAAAAAACATAAAACAAATCCTTGAGGCAAATGTTCAAACAAATTATGATCTAAATTACTTAAATTTATATTTATTTTAAGTAAAGTCTATTTATATTTTTATTATAAAGTTATTATATTTTATAATAAACTGAGCAACAACAAGTACAACAAAACAATACTAAACTTTTAAAGTTTAATTATTAATATACTGAACAATTTATATAACTATGTTTAAAGTAACAAATTACTAAATTTACTTTAAGTAACCAAATACTGCATATGTATGAATCAAATTAAAGTATTTTATCAACAAGTTAACTTTAAATCATTAATACAAACAATTATGTAAGTTTAATAATAAACTTTATGTTTGAGCTTTTACAATAATCACATACACATTTAAAGAGTATGAATTGTTTCATATAAAATGGAAATCTTAAGTAGTTCAGTAACAATAACTTGTAATTAATTTTACACAAAGTAGCGAGCGTATACAATACATTTAATATCTATAACCAAACCACGCTCTGCTACCAAAAGATGTTACATCCGACCTGGGGTTTTACCAGAGTGATGAGTGGAAGCGTGAAATGTCTCCAGGTTCAAGGGGGACGAACATATGACTGCGATACACAGCGCTTATATATATCAAAAAAAAAGGTACCTTGCGTTCTTCTCCTTCAATGATGCTGCCTTAGGTATAAATCTAATTACCATTAAACTACAATTGGCCAATCATAACGTCTAATGCTAACTGATTATACTCAACTGAAGGTGGCAGGATGAAGATGCTCCAGGATGCGCCTAGAAGGCCGACATACGGCGTAGGCACTCAAATACGCACAAGTTTACACTGAATTGTCAGTTCACTTTCATATAAGTACAAATTAAAGTCAATTGATTCTTATTTAACAAGTTTTACGTCGGCACGTGGGCGATGCAATTATGCACTCAAAACCGGCCCCGTGCTCATCAAAATATACAATTATCAATATGTTATTTGCACGTCTTATTTAACAGTCCAATCTAAGATATGCCGCACAAAAAACCATCACAAAAAAGGGCAAAATTACCGAGATGAATCAAACACGCGGCGTATATTTCAAAGGTTCCAACGGCAAGGGCGACAGCCGGGGTCGCCGGCGCAATAGATAAGTGAAGTGACAGTTGTCACTGTCAAGTCAAAATGATGTGACACAGACTCTTAAGTTTTTGCGTGTGCATACAATAGTTTGGTTTATAACAAACCCATTTGCATGGTATTGAATGTGTGGTGGTAGACTAGTCAACTCCAATGTATCATTTTTAATAAGCATCTGTATTCTTTATCCATTGCTCCTTTCCATTCTTTAACATTAGCACTTGATAGTGCTTCCTTTACAGTTAATGGATCTGAAATTTGTGTGAGAAATATTAAATTATTTCCTTGCATATTATGCTTTTGGTGTGATCTTAAAGTGATATTTCTCTGGAAATCATCATTGCTATTGTCATCATCATAATCACTTGTATTTGGATTATATGTGGGGGTCATCAGAACCATTACAGCTATCAAACGATATATCACTCGTGGGTGTTAATGTCTCATTTTGAGAAATATTTTGCGGGCTGTCTACATCAGTAGTTCTCTTTTCACCCTTTAATGTATCATTATTAGAACTAAGAGTAATTGAAGTAATTTGTGGCACTGATACAGGTTCCTGTGTGATATTTTTGTATTATATGTTTTCTCAATGAAAATCACATCCCTGCTGATTACCATCTTTTTACTAACCGCATCATGCATTCTGTACCGCTTTGTGTTTTCACAATAACCCACAAGAATTAATTTATGTGATTTGCGGTCCCATTGCAATCGATTTTGCTTAGGAACATGTACCATGGCTTTAGAACCAAATATCTTTAGATGTGAAATGTTTGGTTTCTTACCAGTCCAATTTTCATATGGTGTTACCTCGTTCAAAACTCGTGATGGTGACCGATTAATAACATATGCTGCTGTGACAACTGCTTCAGCCCAATAGTTTTCTTCAAATTAGCTTTAAGTACCATACATTTGGCACGTTCAACCAACGTTCTGTTCGTCCGTCCCGCTCGCCCATTCTGCTCAGGCGTGTACGGAGCGCTGCTTTGATGCTTGATACCGGAGGTTACTAGAAAATCAGAAAAATCTTTATTACAATATTCTCTCCCATTATCGCTTCTCAATTTTTATTTTTTTCCTAATTCATTTACTACCTCTTCTTTAAACTTTATAACATAGATTTTATATCCAACTTATTCTTTAGAATATACACATACTTTTCTAGAAAAGTCATCAATGAAGGTCTTCTTCTTCTTCTGACACGGCTTTTTCCGCACTTAGGCATCATTGCCCGTTGTGCGTGAGCTTGTGCTGCTGTGTGTGTTATTCTTTCCATCTCAGAGCGTCCCAGTAGTCTAGCAGGCTGCCGGTGTCCTGGAAGATTTCTGGGATCGATCTATAGGGGCCGAGTTATTCTTCGCGTAATTGCTCCAGTGCATTACATTCAGTTAGAATGTGTGCTGGTGTTTCATCTTCTTGGAGGCACGCTCTGCAGAGGGCGCTGTCCGTGTGACTTATGTTAAAAAGATGTTTATTGAGTTGGCAGTGTCCTGTTATCAGTTCCACCACCGTTTTTAGTTTGGGTCTATCCGTGTTAGTTTCATTGTTAATTGTTTGTTTAGTGTGGGGAAGGCTTCTTTCGATTGACGGCAATCTGTGTTAGCCTTCCATAATGTGTTAACTGTGTTATCAGTGAAGTCTCGTAACTCAAATGTGGTATGTTTTAGAGGTTCCAAAGATAAACGTCTTCTTAGGTTGGAGACATATTTAATAATAATCAGAATATAATAAGTAAATTTATAATGAAGCTTAGCTTAATGGGTGGTCGACCATATATGGATGATACATGAGAGATTGATGATACATTACTAAAGTATGGCTTACTGTACTTAATGCTATACTATCACTATACTAATGCTATACTATATTATGCTATATTATACTATACTTATGTATAAACATTTTACACTTCATAACCATGTCTTATATTCACAGTGTGGAATTGGGGATAGAGGTGTAGGCCCCTGAACTTTCAGTCTAGAGGCCTGTTTGGCTAGGTTATCGGCAGTTTAGTTGCATTTGTTATTTGTGTGACCCTTTACCCAGGAGACCTTTACTGTGTTAGTATGGGAAAGGTGTTCCAACGTTTTGTGACATTCTAATATGTATTTTGACTTTGTTGTGTTTTTATCGATTTATTTAGTAGTTCTTGTGCTCCAATTGTGATGCCGACGCATTCTGCTTGTAGCACTGTGTTGTACATACCCATATGATGGTTGGTTTTGATATTGAGAGTGGGGCAGAATATACCTGCACCTACTCCTTCCTTGGATTTGGATCCGTCTGTGTAGATGGTGTGGATTGGTACCATTGTTGGGCTGTTGTCTACATTTCCGTCATCTGTTGGGTTTATAGTATAATGTTTTTCTATGATGTGTGTTTTACTTATTCTGTCATTTGTCCATTTGAGCTGTGGAAATTCTGCCTCATAGATGTCGAGGATCTTTGTGTGTTTGCCCAGATTGCGTTTCCATGAGTTAACTGATTTTAGTCTTAGAGCTGACAGGGCAGCTTCTTGTTTTATGAAAATGTGTAGAAGTGGTATGCCCAGAATTATTTCTAGGGCAGCCGATGGAGCGGTTTTCATGCAGCCTGTTACTGCTAACGTGGCTGTTCTTTGGAACTTTTGAAGTTCGTTTTGGATTGTGTGTAGTTCTGTTTTCGGCCACCAGACTACACTGGCGTAGGTGAGGGATGCTCGTACTACCGTGGTGTAGAGCCAGGGCATTGTTTTTGGTGTAATGCCCCATTGTTTCCCTACCATGCGCCTGCATTGGTTCAGTATCTTGTGGCTTGAGGTGATTTTGTTGTTTACGTGTTCCAACTGAGTTTGCTGTCAAGTGTTACACCTAAATACTTGACTTCATTTGATAGTTTCAGTTTTTCGTTGAATAGTGTTGGCATTTTTGTTAATTTGATCTTGCGTTTCGTTGTGAAAAGCAGTAGTTCTGTCTTTGCGGGATTAATTGATAAGTCGTTTTGTATGCACCAGTTTTCTGCTATATTAAGGGCGCTTTGCATTAGTTCTCCTAGGGTGGCTTCAATTTTACCGCTTATTAGGATGGTTATGTCGTCTGCATAGCCAATGACTTGTATGTCATTGTTATTTAACTCATTGAGGAGGCTGTTTACCACAAGGTTCCAGAGTAGTGGTGAGAGGACACACCCTTGTGGGCAGCCTCTGGATACTAGTCCTGTGAGGTTGTCGTTTGTTTCTGTGTGAATTATGCGTTTACTCAGCATTTCGTTAATCCACGATATTAAGATCTCGGGGATCTTGTATTTGTTTAAAGCTGTGTTTATGCTTTTGAAGGTTGTCTTGTCAAAGGCTCCTTCAATATCTATGAAGGCTCCCAATGTGTGCTACCTGATGGAGCGCTGTTTCTGTGGACTTGCCTGCCGTGTATGCATGTTGGTTTTCGTTAAGAGGTATAGTTGTCAGAGTGGTTTATCTGATGTGTCTTTCACAGAGTCTTTCTAGGGTTTTCAGGAGAAAGGATCAATGAAGGTTATGAAGTACTTTCCTCCTCCTGCAGAAGGTGTCTCCATCGGACCACAAAGATCAGTCTGTATTATCTCTAGCATTACATTTGCTCTGGAATTAGACGGTGGAAACGGAAATCTACTTTGTTTAGCTTCACAGCAAGGTATTCATACGGAATCAATTTCTTTATTTGATATTTTTATATCCTCAGCACATACCTCTAACTTTTTAACATCTGCAATATTTAAATGCCCCATTCTTTTATGCCATGTAATCAAATCTGTATTACTTTCAAATGTAGTAGCATAAGCATTATGAGTTGCTATATTGAGTTTGTACATGTTATCAGTCAATGTTGCCGTTGCAATAAGTACTTTATTGGCATTATAAATGTTAGAGCCTTCATTAGTAAAGTTCGTTTCAACGAATAGTTCCTATGGCGTTATGTTGGCAGCGATGTTTTCCAGTGCTGTCACATTATCTATAATAACCCACCTCAAAGTAAGGGTAATTTCAAGTATGTTTTTTTAGTTAGATTCTTATATATTTACAAATTATTCGATTTCTGTTTTCTAATGTTTACGCGAATTTCACTCATTATAATAAAACAACTTTTACGCCGCTACTTTACTATGGCGATAAAATCAGTAAAAGTTGTTTCATTATAAATTATTCAATTATCATTTTAAAAATCAGAAAAGTAAAAAAAGCATAAATTATTTAATATTTTTTATTATAATTGTGATCAATCAAAAAATGCTCATCCAACGGACTTATTCCCGAGAGATCGTCGTCAACTTCATCTTCCTCATCATCCTCGTCATCAGAAGTGTCGCTATCGTCTCCCACTTCAATTATGAACCTCTCCATCTCGCTATCAATAACTGGGCCATCGGCGTAATATTTTTCTTCCACTTTTTTCACATGCTCACATTCTTTTATCCATTCTTCTTCGGTGATCGTTGCAAAGGCTTCTTCTGTGATTTGGAGGATTTTATTTGCTTCTTGACCTATGTTTTTTTCAGCAACTCGTCTTTTTACGACACTCCATATCAGCTCTATTGGGTTTAAATCACAGTGGTAAGGTGGAAGCCTTACCACTTTATGTCCATGCGCTTCCAACATTATATCGGCTTCATAAACGGGCGGCTGTTTGTGCTCTTTTATTATTTGAAATAGCTGGGCTTTAACCATAGTTGGCAAGTAAGAAAGACCATTACTTGATATCCAATTTTGCATTTCTGCCTTTCTGCTTGACATTGTTGGTGCTTTGTTAAGTTGTACTGTGTGGTAGGAGGCGTTATCCATCACCACAATTGATTGGGGAGGCAGATTTAGTATAAGCTTTTCACTAAGCCACTTATTAAAATTCGTTTTATTCATATCGTCGTGATAATCGGCCGCTTGTGACTGAGATCTGAAGATCAGTTGAGCATTGGGTATGAAACCCATAGCACCACCCGCGTGGACGATAATCCAACGTGGCCCTTTAGAGTCTGATGATAATACACCTTCTTCTTGTTCGCTTTGCCAACATTTTCCGGCGCAATATGTTGCGTGTATATATGTCTCGTCCAAATATACAACTGGGCGCTGGTTTCCGAGACGATTATTTCGTAATTCTTCCAGGTATCGATAACGCCAGGCGACAATATCGTATCTCTCCATTAGGACTTTTCTTTTGGATCTACATTTTTTAAAATAAAACCCGATATCTTTCATTATTCTCCACAAAGTGGTACGACTTTCTTTGAAACCTATCTCGCTTCGCATTTCATGCAATAACTTTGTAAGAGTAGGTAATTCCTTTTTTACGGAATAAAATTCATGTATTTTATGCCTAATAGCACACCGTTCGAAGTCATCCAGTTCGATTTTTTTAGGCCGGGGACCGCTTTTGCGTGGTGTTGAAACCTTAGTCGACGTGCTGGCAGCGACCTCACCTTCTTTGGTGATTTTAGACACGGTTTTTTCGGACACACCTAAAACAAATATTTTGATTTATTTATCTATTGTCAACATCATACATAAACCAATAATAGTCGCAGTACACATGCTTGCGTAGATCTTACAAATAACTACCGTTTAAAAAAAATTGCAGTTAAAGTGTGGAAATTATAATTTCTCTATCTGCTACTGGTAACCCTATTTGACTGACCTGTAATGGCGGCAACACGGGCCTGAACACATCTTAAAGGAATTAATGGTGCATTATTACGTTTTTCACGTTCACAAAAGTTCTTCACCTTTAACACCATCATTCTTTCACCACTTTTTAATGTTTTGGGCATAATTTCAGTCGAAAATCAAATGAAAATAAACAAAATCTGCGGGAGCGTCTTCTCGTGCCAAAGACTTTGACAGAGAGGGAGGCCAACATAACGCCATAGGTACTATTCGTTGAAACGAACTATAAATTCCAATTTATAATCGTTTTTTTGTTAATTGACTGACTGATAACAGATTGGCACTTAACTCAGGAATAAATAAAACATTTCTCACCTGGATCTGATGCACATCATCACATACCTATGTTATGCACAGCACTGCATCATTACTTGCCACCATAATCTTTTGGATCGGAGGTGGTGACTGTATATTGTACATCCAGTCTGAGCGTCTTGACATATGCATTGTTGCGCCCGAGTCTATAAACCATCTGGATTCAATATAGTAAGGTGAAAAAATTGCTAAAAAATTATTTTGATTATTATTCTTTTCTCTTATAAATGAATTCAAAAAAAAAATATGGCACCAAAGTACCTTATATATATATTCTTTATTGCATATTAACAGAGTAACCTTAGAATATTTTTTGATTTTAACATTTTTATAATTTTAATTAGTTTTATAATTGAATATGGAATATTATTTATTTAATTTTAGCTGTTATTATTATAATTATAACAATTTTTTTAAGAAAAAACTGGTGCCATTTTTTTTTGTATACATTTTGTTAATTGTGGGTAGGCTGTCTGTAACAACCATACCTTCGAGACATTTAACAACTCAGTCTCTCCCGTGGCCATGATTGCTGTAAAGCATCCGAAACGTCGGGAACCAAAAATCCAAATAAATCCGCGAAATAATCCGACAAGATAGTTTTATTTAATCCCTCCACGACCGTGGACACGCCGGCGTGTCAGTTAACAATAGATTTCTTAGAATTTTGATTAATTTCTTAGAAATTTACCTGGAGGTGTTAAAATATGTCATGCTATGTAAAAATATAGTTATATACGAGTATTATATTCCAGTGAGTTTAAATCTGCTGCTTAAAAACATTGTACCGGTTTTAACAAAAATAAAACAATAATTACTGTATATATTATAATAAAACAATAATTAAAGAGCTGCAATATGCTTGAGAGAGTGGGTGTTATTTTTGTTACTTTGGGTTGTATTTTTATACATTTTTAGATACTATAACTATAAAATCCGAACAACTAATATTGTACATTGTTTAAACTTAAAAAATACATATTTCTTATTTTAGCACATTGATAGATGTACAACGCTAATGTAAATATTATAATGTTTAGTTAATTGTAAGCTTTTACTTTAAACTTACAAGCATGAGGGCTTCAAATATTGATATACAGATTTTGAAATTTTTTTTTTATAAATTGTTTTTTAGTTAAATATAAGTGATTTATATTTATATGAATTGGCGACAGGATAAATTACCGAATACCGAAACAATGTAAATAGTGCCTTCGCACGTTATATTAATGTGTTAGCTGTGTTAAGTATAATATTAGCATACTATGTGTACAGTTTATGGTATCTGTATGTTGTAAGTAACTTGGAGCTTCTGAAATGACTTATTATATAGTATATTATATTATACATACATAATTATACGTAATCGTAGACACTTAGTGGATGTCTAAGCCCTGAGGTACATGCATGTGGGCGTGGTCTAGTCTTAATACAGTAACACCGTCAGGGGTGAAAGTTTCCATTGAATTGTAATAAAATATATAAAATTACATACCTGTAATAAGCATAATACATGTTCGATCATTTAGGCCGTAGTGTACATACACTGCGGCCTAAATGATCGAACTTTTGACTACGTATTCATAATAATGACTTAATGAGAAATTAAAAAAAATTAACATAGAGATAGCAAAGTTTATATGTAAAATAATATTTTCTTAAAAACACATCACAATACTATATTTGTACCTCTACCCGATACCTCCTCTCTGTATGATAAGTTATATACGTATCTTACTATTTTTATAAAAGAAGTATAATTGTTTAAACGATTTACCATGCTTTGTTTTGTACGTTGTTTTTTAGAGGAATTTATCTACTAGGTTTGTTATTTCGAGGCGTGATATTTTTGATACATATATATTAAACCCTGTGCAGTAGATCTTGTCTTCAATATCTGAGTATATGAATTGTGGCAAATATTTTTAAATTCTTTTTGTAAAAATGATTTTTTGGCAATGTGACGGACGCGTGTTATAATTTCAAATGAGCATGGTTTGAAAATATAATTTAGTACATAAAATATTGTTGTATTGTTGTTTTTCAATATACGTTTTAATTACGACTTGGTGTGTTTTTACTGAAACCTGCTATAAAAATAATGTTTTAGTTTAATATTTGTCCTTTTATTCATATAAAAACGTGTATGTTACACATGGTTATTATTAGAGATCTGTAATCTGTTGATATCTACGAATAGTTAAAAAAAACTTCTAAACAAAGTCGCTGTCTGTCTGATTTTCCGCGTACTTCTTCTAAACTACGCAACGGATTTTGATACGGGTTTTACTAACAAAAACAGCAATAAACTAGGAATGTTTTTGTATAAAAATATTTTGTACAGAATTAAGATTAAATGGCTAGCTAGCATTGGCTAAACCGTCCGTTAGATTACGATTTACGTTGAAATATTGTAAAAACTATATTAGAAGCGTTGATAAATGTGTAATAATATGTTTATTGAGTGTATATTTTGAACGGTGGCGCGCGACGCGGCGGCGCGGGGCGGCGGCACGCAGGTACAGCAGTATGGCGGCTATTCATTATGCCGGTGGAGTACGCTGTACTGCGGAGGGTGGACATGCCCGTACCGGTCACACTCTGCACTGTACACGTTCTGCTTGTGTATTTAATGTGCTTTTATCTTTAATGGGTTTATATTATACGTACATGTATGTATTGGATAATAAACAGATATAGAGTAGAATGGTTTGTCTATAAATTCGTTATTTATCTCGACGTACGTACGTGATACTAAATGTAATTATGTTGCAGGAATATTTTGTTATTTTTCTTAGTATTAATGCATATTCCATACTGACGTTACATGTTGACTGACATTATGGTGAATACGAAAATATATACTTTAAATAAATAAAAAATACAGCATAGCGTAAAAAGCGATAATGTTATGAGTTTAGAGAAAAAAAACTTATATAAAAACTATAGTCAGAAAAGAATTTATTTTGGACGTACCGGTAGGTCCATAAGTTTCTATCGTGCGCGTGTTTTATCAGCGATGTATTATCAGCGCATTATGTAAGCGGCGCTGCGCGGCGCGGCCGACGCGCGCCGAGCACGCCCGAGCACGCCCGAGCGGGCCCGAGTGCGAGCGAGAAGGGCGACTTGCATTAAATTTCGATCCTATTCTGTAATGTTTTGTCCAATCGCGTCCGATCTCTGCGTGTTCCGGTTCTTTGTCATCAATGGGTCGCCGGGCGCTCTCGCCTCGAGTGCCACTTCAAACCGATTTACGCAATATTTGAGTCGCTCGCCGACGTATGACCGCGCGCCCTCGCCGCACAGCGGAGCCCGGGACGCAGCGCCAGCCCGGGGCGGCGCCCCGCACGCGAGCGTAGGCCCTCTCGGCATTAATGAGCCGTCGTCCGTAGTCCGTACCCACTTCAGCTGACTGCGTCGTACGCAAGGCTACTCTAACTAGACTAGTAGTAGTCCGGCGCTCGAGGGAGACGGTCCGTCGCGCGTGGCTCGGTCGTGCCGGTGTGCGCTGTGATATGGTCGTTGTTGTGTGTGAGATGTGTCGGGACCGCCGCGCCAGCCCCTAGGCCTTTGCCCCGCGCCGCATCGCGAGAGCCGCGAGTGAGAACCGTGCCCGGCCGGACGCGGCCGGTGCGAGTACAGTGCAGTATCGCGAGAGCCGAGGCTCAATAATGCTCAAATTTTTGACACACAAGCTCCGAACGCATTCGTTGAATGAGGAGAACGTTTCCGAGAAGGTGGGTGTCGACGCGACCGAGCCGGCTCGCCGAAGGTCACACCGCCACCAGAAAATGGCCGCCTCGCGAGAACAAAGGAGCGGAACGATCGGCTTCGATACCGTCGCTCTCGTTCCATCTCTCGGCGAGAGTGCGAGACGTGCCGGTGGCGGTGTGACTGCGACACGCTCTGAGGAATGCTTTGCTTGCAGGTGGAGGAGCGGGACTCCGGCACCGAGTCGGACGACGAGGCGGAGCGCGCCGACACCGGTGAGTGATGCCCCCGGGCCGACGAAGGTCTCACCCTTGCCAGAGAGCCGTTTCTGGAAGTATTAGCGATAGGCGGTTCACTATCAAACTTCTAAGTGTAAATAGATATAATGTAATTTGCTATCTGGAATGTGGGGGTTTATTTCGTTGGTACTCCACAATCGCGTCTGAAGAGTGATTTTTATCGCGACCTGTGACTAGCTCGCCTGTAAATAAATATGCAAAATAAAAATAACAAAACAAAGCTGCATAGTTTACAATTGTTACTGACATTATTAGATTCTTATTAGCATACCGGTTTAGCAGAGCGGAGCGCAGTCACACACGCAGCCACACGTCCCAGCGGTTCTAGTCGAGACTGGGCGAGACGAGTGGTTGCTTTACTTTGGGCACCGCTGTCCAAAATGTCGGCGTGGCCCTTCGTAATGATTGTTAGCGTCGTGTTTTACTTACGATTGCATACTAATAGCGTTACCGCTTTGTTTATAGCGTGACCTTGAGGCGCGACCTTGAACTTACGCAAATATTTAAAGTGTGTTAGCATACAATGAGGTTCTCTTATCGCTAAATATTGTCGAGCATATAGACAGCACACGAGGGCCGGCCCGCTCCGGCATCGCCATCGAGCGGGGGTACGATTCCACAGTTTTTTTAACTAAAAAAAGGAAAATTTGGATAAGATATACATGATTAGTTAGGTACAATTAATATGAAACATTTAACCTAATATTAGTAGTATATCTTAGGAGTATATCTAACCGAAGACGCGTGTTTTACTTTAAAATGAACAGGTACAAAATTTGGTTGTGTACTTCTATTCTTTCGCGTGTGTAAAGTGTGTGTTACGCGATATCTGCGCCAATTGTAAATCGATTTTCATGATACTTTAATGAATAGGTTTATACCTTGAGGTGTTCCCATCCCAATAATTTAAAGACAAGTGCGAGTGGAATTCGCACACGAAGGGTTCCATACCATCGTACATGTACTTTTTATTAATATGACTTTTACTCTATGTATGTAGTATATTAACTTCGATGATCGATTACGAACGTTAAAAAAACGTTTCTTGTTTTTTTATTATTTTTTGTATTATTATAGAGGCAATAGAAATACATACCCTATAAAATTTCAACTCTCTGCCTACCTATTACGATTCATGAAATACTCGTATAACAGGCCTCTGACGGGCGGACGGACAGCGGAGCTTAGTAATAGAGTCGGCACCCTTCGGGTACGGAACCCAAAAAAAGTGACAATTATCATTTAAAAAAATAATATAATGTATTTGGTGCACCTTTTTAGACATAAAACATAAACCGATGAGATAAAAATATTTTACATATTTTAGCTTTTATTAAAATTGCATATTTTGTGTTCGTTTTATTTTTTCGGCAACGCTTTTCATGCAATATTTTTCATATATTTTTTTATCGAGAAAAGTCTTCTCTCGCCGCACCGCCTCGTGAAATGATGAATAGCATTTCTCACGTAAGCATAATTCTAAGTTAGGTATACTTTGGAAATACCGACGTCCGACGGACATTATATTGCTGTGCATTGTATTGGTTATTTGACACTATATTTACTTAATAGTCAGGCTCGTCACGTGGCTGCACTTGCCTTGGAAACTATCTCCATCTTAAAAAAATTGTAACATATTAAAAACTAAAAACATAAAACATCTTTTGTAAAATGATACTGAAACAAACAAAAACAGATAATTTGAGGAATATTGTTTGTATTGTTGAGAAAAGTTTTTTTTTTTTCAATATTTAAAGTGTTGCTTTTAAAAAAAATCCATGTTTTCCATTTCCACCCTCACCAAGTGCCAACGTTTAGTACATATAAAATAGCTTAATTAAATGATCGTGGATTAGAAGATAGAGAAACGCATGCAGGGTAAGTCGCTGACACAAACTAGTGTAATAATAATATATTTGGCCTCGGGAAGCTCACGTTCAACAGAAAAACATCTCGATATCGCCCTTCCCTGTTTGTTAAATAAATATTACAAAGGGCACAAAAGGTAGCGAAACTCACAAAAATGACATACGAACTCTATTTTAGATTTCTATCTCTACGTCCCATACAATGTATTATGACAAGATAATAATTCGTCTAAAGATTATTTATGTAAATCGAATCTTTGTTGTATTTTTTAGATTTATTACCAGCCACTTACTCTCGCTTCGCTTAAGTGAGACCCCTAAGAGCTTCTTGTACTTATAATATTATATAGAGGCAGCGCCATCTCTTGGAAAATGTTATTACTAAGAGTAGCCAGTAATAGGCATACACACATACACATAGTGTTTAGTGTTATACATGAGAATCTTGTCGAGTATAAAATTAAGAACCTAACGATTGTTACATGTTCCATAATGCAAGGTACTCGTACATAGGTAGAGTAGAAACATAGTATAATATTTAATCAGCGCGCTATCCACCTTACATCTTTACAAGCTACGAGCGTCCGGCCCTTTCTCTTTCAACGCTATATTAGATCACAGGTTTTCATATACTTATATATACACGTTTAAAAATAATCAAACTAAAACTCCAAATCAAACAAATAGTATATATACATAGTACTTATTTTGGCATGTACATAGGTATTTTTGTGCTTAGTTGCTCGTAGTCTCTACTTATTAACCGATTTCCAAAAAGGAAGGAGGTTCTCAATTCGTCGGAATCTTTTTTTGTGTATGTTCACCGATTACTCTAAGACGCCTAAACCGATTTGGATTTTTTTTGTTTCAAAGGGTATATTTCCCAGATGGTGCCATTTAAATTTTATCGAAATCGGTCGAGCGGTTTTTAAAAAAATCAACAATAAATTATTTTTTTAAAATAAATTGCTTAATCGAATACGTTATTAAAAAACTTCCTTCTTACAAATTACCTGCTTATTACGTCTACACTAAAAATGGAAAAATAAAAACACTTAAAAAAACCGTATTCCAGCTAATTCATCGTCTATTATGTTCTGGTCGTCTGGTGCACTCGTAGCAGATCTAATGAGACAAGAGTTCAAACACTTGTAATTGGTTTTTATCGAGAAAGTGGCCAATGAATACGAATAGAAATAAACTTTGACCTTTGAAACTTCACAATATATGAATTCGACGAAAACTTTGGCGAGGTATTGCTATAAATAATAAATTAAATCTCGTACAGCTTGTAAATGTGTGTATCTACATTTTAGGTGTCGTTGATGAGTGCTGCATTCACTATTTATTACCCGACAGCGGCGAAGCCCAAAGGAGGGTTATGTGTTTGACTTTTATGTATGTATGTCCAATCCTATGTTCTCTTGTGATTACCAAACGGCTTATTCGATTTTGATGATTTATACGTCATTCTATATCTTGATACTGCGAGTGTCATGTCAAAATGGCGGGTCTGTGGCACCAATTTGTGTCCTAAAAAGTTTTTTTTTTTAGTGTATTTTATGGAAGGTTGCAATTGCATTGGTTTCATTTCACGTAATCAATAATTTTAAAGTAAAAGGTAGCTATTTTGTTTCGTGTTTTCTTTAGGTAGATACCTACTTATTTTAAAGTTTTTTGTAATTACATAAAAAATAGCATTCTTCTGTTTGAGTGAATTTTATTGAAGGTAATTATTATTATTTATTTGTTTTTTTTTTATATATAAATGTATTACGTAATTATTTGCACCTAGGGAAGCACTCGAGCGAGGCGAGAGTAAAGTCGCTAGTTAAATAAATATATATTAGTTATGTGTAACAAATATAAACAAAGTTTAGAATATTTATAAATAGTAAATACAAATACTATGTCGCAGGAAAATAAAAGGTTACTTATAGGTAAGGTATGGAAGATATCAATAATATAAAATTTTACATTATATTTATTAGTGAACTTATTGGCTTTTTAAGAAACAGTTTCGCACTTAGTTGCAGGAATGCCCCTGCATCGATATTTCCGCAAGAAAATGTTAAACACTGTTGTGTATTCTCAGCATTCAATTAAAGTGATCTAATGATAATGGTTGTAAATATTGCCATGTATTAAAACTTCATCAGATACATAAGTCCACTACAAGAAGGTTTACTTCGATTTGTTATACTGGTTTTTCTTCTATCGTAATCGCTATTTGTGTTGAAAAAGCTATTGAAATCATTTGAATTAACTTATATGTGTCGATGATTCTCAGAAAGATCGATGTTACTTTAGGTAATGAAATGTTTGAATGTTATAAATTATCAGTGTATGTGTAACGATAACTATTTTGAGCAAACAATAGTATTTTGAAGTGCTGATTAGAGGCGAGCGCTTTGCCTGCGCCTGCGCACCCCGCGGCCGCACCGCGTCGCCGCAATCGCACGCGACACCTGTGTAAATGCATAAATAAATTATATTCTTTAATTTTATATTATTAATGTGGAAGTAAATAAAAAGTAATCGAGTTTATTTAATATCTTAAATGATATGGTTTAAAACTAAAGTTAGATTTTAGTAAAATAACAGCATACTATGATATAATTAATTTGTACTAATTGTACTATATAAAATTGAAATTTGAAACCAAACACATGTGATGCTAGTGAAGTAGTATCAAGTGTGGTGGAGTGTCGAATGACATCTTCATATCTCTCTATAGCTCTCTAACTCTGACCAGTCCAAATCTGACTAATGAATATACTTGTACTACTAATACTATTAATACACGCGTCTTCGCTCGCCGCGTAGCCTATAGGTAATTGTATATTTATTATTTTGGAACCATATATCAGGAAGTTTTTATGACATCAGCTCGAGCTGACGATGCAACATTTCTGTTTGGTTTAATACGTTGAAAAAGGAAACTCGTAAACTTTTATATTCTTATCTTTTCTGTACTTGTGCGATTCATCTGTAAACACTTCAATATGTAAAAATATAATCAACTTAGGCTAAAAAGCTCTGAATTTATTCATTGTTGATAGTATTATGTCACGTGTAGTGTTACAATTTAGTTTGTTAAATATTTAA